AAATAAATTTCAAGATTGACTTTTCAACTTTTGGCAAAAAACATTTTAATAAGTAGCCGAAATGTTAAAATTCTCATTCAAATAATTGTTTTTGGGCAATTTTTCGGGCAATAGTTTGTGATTAATTTATGCTTTATAATTAGTTTAATTTTTAGTTAATCAGCACATGTTTGGTATAAATTTTTATTTATCACTGATCAACGAACAACTGATATCAAAAATTCCACTACCTTTTGCTAATTTGATCTTGATTGATTTTCAAAAAAAATATTCCATTTGTTAAATATTATCAAATAATAATTGTCATTTAATTAATATCACTATGACATGATCATTTATGTAGTTCACGTATTCTTATTGTATTTCACATAGTTCGCGTATTTTTTTTCCACGTAATCATAATACATCATTAAAAATGATATAATTTATTTTAAACGTTCCATTGTAAGTAGATTTTTTAGGATTAAAAATTATCATAATTTATTGTTTTGTTTTGTAAAATGTACGGTATTTTAGAATGAGTTAACTTGATAAAATGTATTGTTGAAAAGGAAAAAAAAACATTAAATTACATAACATCCTTCAATTTAAATTTAATTTAATTTGAATTGAACATAGTACTGTAATTTTGAATGGTCAGAGTTCAAAGTTCAAGCATTTATGAACATAAATCATACAGTTATACTTAACAACATGATATAAATGATAGCAAATAATCAAATCATACATATAATCAAAACGAATACTTATTTTTAACCTTTAAATTAATGAATAATGATGATAAAATGGTTAGATTTAGCATCTGTTTCGAAAATATGGTAGAAATGTCTCAGGAGGGATTGAATGGATGGATATTTTACCATTCCTTTCTTCTCGTATCCCGCGGGGTTTTATCTATCTCAATGATATATGTATATATCAAGTTCGGTTATTTCAATATCATAAGCATTTTACAGTAAACAATAAATATCCTTAATGTAATGTACCATCAATCAAATGGTATTTGGCAATGTCATAAATAATAAGATTAAACCAAGGCACATAGAGTGCTATATGCGCTTCTTTCAACATCATTATCATTATTATTATTATCGACATGATGATATCGATAATCATGATCATTGTTATCATCGTAATTCTTGCCATTAACTAATCGTTTATCATCAATTATTCATTATTTTAGTCACTTTCATATCGTTTCTTTAATACCGCTTTATATCAATGATGATGATGATGATGTCAATAGTAATGATGATAATGATGATGATCTTGGTGGTAATAGTACAATTTTGAAAAGATTTCTAATGGTATTAATTCGGGTTAAATGAAAAAAAAAGAGAAATGGGTATGTCACACTTAGTAAATTCTCTTTGTCGGTTCGAATAAATCCTTCCAGAAATAAGATGATGGAACTGAAATGAAGCGGAATAACATCAAATGCTTCCTTCCTTTGGTTTTTTTTGCTCCCCTCCCCCTGCTTTTAAGGATAAAATTGACGGGGGTGTTAGGAGTGACAGGAAAAAGGAGATGACAAGATTGGAGAGAAGTGAGAAAATGACAGGATATCATACTTTATCACTAATTTTGCATCAATAATTTTTAGTATATGGATATCTTAAAGATGACAAGCTAAAAGTGAAAAAGATGCATGACAGTTTTCTATGAGTAAATTTTATTTACAGAAAATTGTGGGACAGTTTTTATTTTCACTTTTTTTTAAGAAAGTAAACTTTTTTTGAAAAAGAAATGATATTGAATTGTTCAAAAGATAAAAAGACTGATAATTTTTTATTTTTTTAAGAAAAAATAATTCGAATTTACATTTTCATTTATTTCACGTTAATGTTTTCATTTATTTTAAATTAGGAAATTACTTTTATGCTAAAGTATTAATTTGATATACTGTAACAAAATTATTAAGTATTAAATAGTTTGATAAATTTTTAAAATTTTTTAAGTTTAGTTAATTTCTCGAATTGCATTATATATAAAAAATTATTCGATTATTTAAATTCCATTATACTGTAAAACAGGGCAAAAAAGAAAATTATACAACTAATGCTATATGTTTTCAATGCTTAAATTTTGTAATCTCAATATAATAATCATTTTCTAATTTCATTTAAAATATTTAAACTTAAATTAAAATCTTCCCAAATCTATACCAGCCTAAATATCATCCATACCTTTTATCTTCTCTCATTAATTTGATATTTCCAATAATTAAAAAATTATTCGTTAAAAAATAAGCCATTTATTCATCATGTATATAAAATATTGTCATTTCCTTTTTTTCCGCAATAAATTAAATCCAAAAAAAATATATTATCATCCGCATTTCTATTAAATCATTCAAATTCCAAATCTCATGCCAATTTAAATTAAATTCAAATTTAAATTATTAACTTATATACCTATTTCATTATCCACTTGTAATATCATTTAAATAAAACAATTCTTTTTATTTATTTATTTTAAAAAAAGAAAAAAATCAATGATAATTAATTATTTATTTTGGGTATAAGCAATAAAAATTTCAAAAAGATATATAAGTTTGTGAAAAGAAAAAAAAAAAGGAAACGAATAAATTTACCGCAAATAAATGAATGAAACGATTCATTCATTTATGAAAAAGAGAGAAAAAAAAAAAGAAAGGAAAAAGAAGAAAAGTGATGAAAAAATGCTACAAATCATTTCAACAAATATTCTTAATTGCTATTTTGAATGCTATAAATGCATGCATGCATGCATGCATGCATTCATAAATGTATATGTGTATACGGCATTTGTCACGTGCCGGTATTATTTGGTCATTTCTATTGATCATCGGTCAGTTTTGTTAACCAAAAATCAGTTAGTTAGTTTAGTTGGTTAGTTAGTCAGTCAGTCAGTCAGTCGTCTTTTCCTTTCATCTATACCGCTTTTTCCATTTACGATAATGCAGATTGCCTTTTTGTTCGTATTGTTATTCGGATATTTTAAGGGATAGGATTTTGAGGAATACCATATACAATACAATACAATCCAATCTTATTCATGAATTTATGGATTAAGAAAGAGAGAGAGAAAGAGAGAAAGAGGGAGAGAGAGAGAGGAGGGAGG